TACTTTATCGGGAGGCGCCCGTCTGATGCAACGGAGCACCTCGTGCTCGGTAAGGTCCGGGAAGTCGATCTGGGGGGATATCCGAGCCGTAGGGATATCAGAGAGGTCGGCCGGAAGTAGTTCGGGAAAGAAGGCTTTGTAAAATGTCTTTACCTTCTGTTTTGCGGTCTCTGCGAGCCCGCCATCTGTTTTCAGCGTAAGTATAAGGCTTCCGCGGGCCTCCCTGCTTCTTGCCCACTTAGCCGCCTTCCACATGCCTCGAGGGCCTGATTCGGTAGCCTTGCGGACCCAGGAACGGTGGCCCTGGCATAATGCCTTAGCCAATACTTTTCCTTTGCGGTTCCTGATTTTGGTATAGCGCTCCTACCGGAGGCCTGTAGTGGGGTCGGTAGGGCCGTTCGCAATAACTGATTCCGTGTATTTACGCCGGAATTTTCGGGTGATCTTGACCATTTCGCGGCATTCCGCATTGAATGAAGGGTTCGCCCACGGAGTGGAGGCAGCGATTCCTTGGTTAATCGTCTCGATAAGGTATTCTATAACGAGCTCAATATGCTGTTTTATTTGTAAGGGAAAGGCCTTGCTCTGGAGGTTAAAGTCCACGAAGCTTTGCAGGTCTTTGACACTGCAGGCTTTCCAGTTCTTTCGTCGCTGTGCCTCGGGAGTTTTAGTGCTGATATCAAGGAGGGTTCGTATTGGATAGTGGTCCGAGTCTGCGTGGACTCGCTCGTTGACCTCGCAGGCAACGAGCCTAGGGGTCAGGTCCTGCGAGCCGAGGACCAGATCGATAGTGGTCTTGCTTCCGTTGCGCTCCTACGTGGTAGTGCCTGGCTCTAGCCAGAGGTCCAGGCACCTCGTATCCGTTAGTTCCAGCAACTGGTCAGACGATAGGTCTCTCTCAGAGCGTTCTCCCCCCCACGCCGGGTGGTGGAGGTTGAAGTCGCCCAGCAGGAGCAAACGGGGGTTAGTAGAACTGTTAGTAGGGCCGGTAGGGATAGTTAGGGAGGTAACGAGGTCGAGGGTAGTACCATCTACTTCGTTAGATCGATTATAAATATTGAAGATGCGCACTTGTTGGCCGTCAGCATCAGTAAGCTCGAGCTTCTAGACGTCCTTCGAATGCACTGTATGTTTCCAGGTATTAGGATCGATTTAGCGTAATATATAGAGGTACACGCGGGCCCGCTCGTTCCCTATTTCGGTCGAATCCGGGTATAGGAATTGGTGGGAGCCGTTAGCAGGATAGTAAGTAGTATCCTGGTAGAGATTCTCCCAGGGTTCTTGCACAAAGATGAGGTCCGCCTCTAGGACTGCAGGATCCCGGAAGAACTGTACCATTACCTTATCTTTAGATCGATTCGTATTATATTGGAGGATGTAAAGGGGCTTGATTATAATCGGTTAGCCCTAGTGCGTTTCTGTAATACTAAGCGGGTCCTCGTAATAGGAGCCGTAATAGGTACAGTAGTTGGTATCAAGATCTTCGGGAGAGAGACAGTAAGGGTCTCGCTGGCCGAAGTCGATCGTTCTCGGTATGCTACTCTACTGCGGGATCGTTTTGTGGGCGGTATATCTCCGGTTGGTAAATCAACTGGTATAATAGCCAGGTGTGAGACTTCCTGCCGTGTTACGGACTGGGTACGGGCACTCTGGCGCGTTCCTTCAGACGAGGTAATGCTCTGCAGGCCACTCCTTCGTCCACGGCGACCCCTAGATATCGGGATCACTGGAGCAGGCGTCTCCGGCTCACTCTGTTGACCGGCTTCCTCCCGGTCAGGCTGCGGGGGCGTATCCATTCCGTCCGCAGCAAAATCTATCCTATCTTCGGAAAGCTCACTAGCTGTAGGAATCATTTCCTGCGAGCCGGCGTGTGACGGCGTAGACCCCGGTTGAAATCGGACAGTTAAACGATTACGAACGCTTGCAGGTCTACTAACGGACCTTGTACGCCTCTGTGAGAGGCTCGTGTGCGGCTGGCTGCGTCCCTCGCTGTTAGACGAGCTGGAGGCCTCCGTACCGCTACGTACGGAGAACTGAAAGTCCTGCAGATAGGGAGGGACCCGGTGCCAGGCTTACCGGTGCACTGCTGTAGCTTGAACCCGGTCTATCTCTGCTGCGTACCTCGAATACCCTTTGTGCCAGGCAGCGTGTGCTTCTCCACATCCTGCATAGCGGCGCTCCTAGCTACTAGTAGACTTGTGGGAGCAGTTCCGGGTCTCGTGACTGCCCCCACAGAACCCGCAAGTTGTTTTATTCGAACAGACAATTCCTATGTAACTATATTGTTGGCAGTTAAAGTACAGTCGGATACGAGCAGTTCGGTTATACAATACTGTCTTATGAATAACGCTGTCCTAAATGGTGTCTCGTGCGATTGCCTCGTTGGCGTGACGGGAGTCTAAGAATTCTACGATTAGGGCGAACGATCTCCGATTCTTATAATTGGACGGATGAGTGAGCCACGCGATACGCGTAATTTAGGGGCTCTATTGAGCTTCCTTATTGATCCAGCAATCTCTATTTTCCTCGAGTAGCTCGTTGGCCACCCGTTATTGTTCCGTATCAGTAGTGAGATCTCCAATTGACTTAAATGCGATCCCATATATAACGATACCCCAAGAGGGACGCCGCAGTATGGCTCCCGCGCTCAGGTAGTTGATCCATTGATCGTAGATCCTGGCAGCTTCGGCCTCAGCGGCGTAGCGGAGTGAAAGGCTTAGATCGCCAGATTTAAGCTGTCTAGCAGCTACAAAACGCGCCTTAGCCAGAGAGAGAGCCCCTATTTGGCCGCACGTTTTCTGTTTTGCTATTTCCGCTCTCTGCTTGATATCCGAGGCCGTAAGACGTCGGTAGGTACGCACTGTACCAGCATCCCGTAATTTAACGATAACTTCGCGGTCCTTGCTGAGTTCCGACGGGGTGACCGGGGCGGTACTAAAGGAGCCGTAAGACGAGATCGTATGGGCCAAGGGAGGCGCGTTGCGGACCACAGAGGCCCAGGACTGGTTGTTCTATTTCTGTACACTCGATTGAGTGTGGTAGGTCTGTTCCTGGACGTTCTAAAGGGTCTGCCGGATGTTGGCCAGCTCTGGGCCGATACAGCAGTTAGCAGTCAGAATATCCACAATTTGGTATTGCAGGAAGTTGTAGGCGTCAGTTACCTACCCCAGAAGCCCCGGGGGGTCCTTGGTCCGGTGGGTTTGGGGTTGCCCCGGCCCGTATGGCGCTAGGGTTTCGGGGCGCCCGAAGGGTGCGTCTACCGTCGGGGTATGGTGCCTATGGACTT